GGGGGGGGGGGGGGGAGTAGGTGGAACTTTATTACCAACAATTATGTGTTATAATGCAAAGTTGATGAAATACAGGATCAAGGGTCGTATCAAGAAGTCACAGACAAAACGAGCCACAATATGACAGTGCGCCTGAGTAATAATTGGCTCGTCAACTAGACTGGTTTTCCAAAGGGACAATGGGACAAGGATGAAGGCTTTCATGAATAAGAGATTGGGCAATGCAATCGGGGAAGAAAACTCTTCAAAACAAACAAAACAACTTAGGGGTAGAGTCATGTTTTCTCGGAAGCTAATACACATTGAACGGAACAGTGATCAACATGTTTAACTTCACCTGGTTCTCGTATTTCTCAGTTCTCTGTTTGGCGAACTGATCAGTCATCGAGATTAAGCAGAACCGGAGCAACATACCGTATTGGAGAGAAATCGAACATATGCACGCATAACAAGTGTGCACAACATATAAACAACTCGTAAAAACGAACGCTAATCGAAGTGAGGATGACCGATGGTTATACAAAGCAGAAACTTGGTCATCTAGGGAACAGGATAAAGACGGACTATCGGTGTTTGAACATCGCTGTCTACGCAGCATTGCACAAATCTGGCTGGTGGAGCAGCCAGACGAGCAATGGTGATGGTTTGGGTAACCGTGGTCACCCACTGGAGCAAGTGATCGAAATCCACAGAATACCTTGGTTGGGGTATGTGTTACGCATGTCACCAAATAGGTTGCCACGGCGAACGATGTTCGCCGAAACAGGTAGCAGTTGGAAAAAGGTCAAGAATGGTCCAACCAGACCTGGCATGAGGGTATGAAAAACCTAACCAGGAATCTGGGTCACATAGGTCCCATTAGGCTCCCTGGACGGGGACTTCGGGATGGTCGTACCCGATGGTTCGAGACACTGAGTGATATGGCTGGGTGTCGTAAACAGTGGCGTTCGTTCATGTTCTCAATTTTTTTGCAACCTTCAACCACTGAAATTCTTCATTTTCTCTTCGATTCTATTTTCAGCTTTCCATTCTTTCACCTACTGCTTCATCCATATGGGCAACTAAAACTGGTGCACGACGGTGCATGGTTAATGGCTGTACAGACTGAAGCTGATCTGCTCGAGTTCAGCAGAAAAAAAGAACACTACTCGTCCAATTTTCAAACACAATACATTTTCGGAAATCCATAAAAGGGAACTTGTATGGCTTGTAAAGATTTACATATTCACGTAAACTGTTTCTGTTCAGTAGCTATTGTCGCATGATAGACATTGGGGAAAGAACCTTAGACCAGAGCAGTGAACGTAAAAATATAAAAGTCCGTATACCGATCTTTCACATTCGGTTTAAACAATCAATAAAGGAGTGTACGGTTGATTGGATTAATTGACGACGGTGAAAAAAGTTGAAACCGGAAGAACAGTCGGTTCTCAACAATCGGAAAATTATTAGCGAAGAACAAATGTATCCATGAATTTCTTAACTATAAATCAACCAAAAGGTTGAAAATCACTCGCACTGCATTCGTTTTTCACCTGGTTCGGCATAATATGATACAGCGTGCATTTCCCCTTCAATACCACGTCGAACCGAGCGGGGCTTTATGTGGTTCGCCAGTCCAAGTTTCGGTATGAAAAATGTTAGCTCCAATTGGGACGGAACATGATATGTATCCCAGGCCGAAAAACAAATCAACTAATCATATGGTCAGAGGGTAGCCAAGTGGTCGTGTAACGACCTTGGCAACTTGCCATCCCGTTTGAGAGTGAATTGTGTTTATGTCACACTGAATAATTCATGGTGTCTGCATTTTGTTCTCTTTCAGACTGTCAGTCAACCCCGTCTCCATGGGGAACATTCTGTCTGTCGACGACAGTTTAAGCCTATACCTAGACTCAGCCCACTTGCGGTGGTCTGGTGTATCCTTCACGGGGGACATCCTACCGCACACACGAGCCAAGCATCTCACAATCGGATTTACTTAGCCTGTACAGGTCATAGTTTGTTGAATAGATTGCGGAAATACAGTTAATATCGGGGCTAACAATGTGGAAAGAACTGGGGATATCATTCAACTTTTGGGACTTTCAGTAGAAAAAAACAACAACGGATATTAATACCTCAACAAAAGCTGAATCTTACAAACCAATATAACCGGTAAGCGGAGCAGCGTACCCGAACGTAGGTTCGTGGTCCATTTTGTTGCGTCAGACGTATTCGTTCTTCTTCGTCTTCCTCGTCCTGATCGGTCACACGTGATGGTTGCAAAATGAACAGATGACCGGCGTAATTCAGGACCAGACTTTTCGGGGGCACATTGCCTGCGGACAAATAGAGTCGAACGTTCGGATGTAACAAATCCCGACCACCATCCTCAGATCGGTCATTGTGATCACCGGACGAGTGAGTGGATCTCGTCTCGCCCAGATCCGCATTCCCGGATGCGGGAGTCGCATTCAAGGTGGAAGACACTGACGGGTTGATTTTGTTGCGTTTTGTATCTGCGTCCCGG